ATCTAAAGACAAGGCCATATAAACATATGTTAATCAAGGGCATTAACATAACAATATTAAGGGTATAAAACATATGTAATACTATGTTTTCTCAATGCATTATATTAATATTATAGTTTATGATTTATAAGTGACTACATTTTGCTCAACAAATCTTTTATTTACATATTTCATATACATGTTGTGAATACATAATCATATTCACACTGAATCACAGTCTGGCAATAAGGATAGTTGTGTCAACAATAAACATGTAATAAAAGCCCTGTCATACATGGAAAAAAGAGACTAACACCATATTCATAAATTATACACATTCATGTATGCTAAATAATATCTTTTTTCCATTCTTATGATATTCTGCAATAAAGATTACAGTCACACTTTGAAAATATTGTGTCAATGTTAGCATTGCATATTCTTCTAAAAAATAATTAGATTTTTATATCAAAAATGAGATCATGCCTTAATTGATATTAAGTATATTAGAGAATAAATGAAAAACTATTAATAAAAGACAGAGTTGTGCTTAACTATATTTTTATGGTATTTTTTTGGATCCAGTAAGATTAAAATCAAAGGTGTAAATTTATGTCACAAGTAAGATTTAATGGTATTAAATGATATACTTCTATGCCAAAAAGTAAAATTTTAATGGTACATCTACACCTTTATAGCTACATGTAGAAAAATTTTTAAATCCCCATTATGTAAAATTAATGGTATATCCCATGCTAAGAGTTATACATCATTGTATTTCTTTACATTTTAAATAAGATTGATTGGTATTATATGGTATATTTTTCCCGCATAATATAACATTCATAAATATTTAATGGTATATTTTCATCAGAAGCTTAAAGGTATGATATGATAATTATTATATAATAAAAGGACAAGTTAAAATTGTTATGGTGTAATATTATGCCAAAAAAAATGATTTTAATAGTATACAAATTTTTATTCATGTGTGGCTTTTTTTAAAAAAATACTAGGTATATTGTGGCATGCCCTTAAAAGCTTATTTGGCACATATTAAAAATATATGTAAAACAACTGTCATTACAAAAGCTCTACAAACAAAATAAAATAATTTTACACCTGTGACTGATTCACCATCCAAAGAATGGCATCCAAGAAATGAAGAGTAGAAAAATCTATTTTTAGTCCTAATGACCTTGAATGATCAAACCATACATATACATTATCTTGAAGCAAAATCATAGCTGCCAATCATGTAATATTTGGCTTAAAGGAACTCAAATGAGGTGCAAAAGCCTAAAAACATAAAATTTGTATTCTTCCACAGATCAGCTGTGGCACTTAAAACAGAAAGATTATGCAAATGATAAGTAAGAAATATGCTCGGAAATAAAATAAAACTCTATTTTTATGCTATTCTTCAGCAGAGTAAAAACATTGGAGTGAATGCTTTTCATTTTTTTGGTCACTATTCACATCGTGAGCGAATGATCGGAGATTGTGCACACAAGCTATTAATCTAGACCTACAACAAATGGAACATTAATCTTGAAAAATTATTTCAAGCCCTGTCATGTCATGATCAAAAGACACTCTCTGGAGTCCTTTAACTTATTGCTATATAAGCCTTTTGAAATCACTTCTTAACTAAAAGAGTCTGAACACTGTATCGGAAACAATTTGACTTATTAAGTATTTTTCAATAAAATTACTTAATTTCAAATTTATACGTCATCTTTTGCTATATAATAACATTAAAGGACATGAAAGTCAGAAAGATGACATGTCCGGAATCTAAGTGCCTGAAAGGGCAGATGCACCCTCATAAAGCCTAAGATATATACATACATACATATGCGTCAGGAAAACAAATATTTGGCTCTAAAAAAACAATAAAAAAAACAAAAAAAAAAAAAAACAAGAGGGCCATGATGGCCCTGAGGTCGCTCACCTGTATATAGGCCCCCCCCCCCCCCAACGTTGCAGGGCCAATTTAACCCAAGGGCTTTTATTTGCACAAACTTGGTAGACACCCATAAGAAGATGTTTCATGCTAAACATCTAAGCTCTAGCTCATTGGGCTTTTTAAAAGAAGATTTTTTTTAAGTTTTTACTATACACATATAGTTAAAAACAATGACACCCCTGGGGCCGGGCCAGGGCTTTTATTTGAACAAACTTTGTAGACACTTATTAGAAGATGTTTCATGCTTAGTATCTAAACTCTAGCTATTTGGTTTTTTTCAAAGAAGATTTTAAGTTTTTGCTATACACATATAAAGAAAATCAATGACCCCCGGGGCGGGGCCAATTTTGACCCCAGGGCTTTTATTTGAACAAACTTGGTAGACACTTATTAGAACATGTTTCATGCTAAATATCTTAGCTCTAACTCTTTTGGATCTTGAAAAGAAGATTTTTTAAGTTTTTACTATATGCATATAGGGAAAATCAATGACCCCCTGGGGCGGGCCAATTTTGACCCCATGGCTTTTATTTGAACAAACTTGGTAGACACCTATAAAAACATGTTTGATGCTCAATATCTTAGCCATAGCTCTTTGAGTTTTTTAAAAGAAGATTTTTTAAGTTTTTACTATATGCATATAGGGAAAATCAAATACCCCCCGGGGCGGGGCCAATTTTGACCCCAGGGCTCTTAATTGAACAAACTTGGTAGACACCCATTAGAACATATTTCATGCTAAATATCTTAGCTCTAGCTCTTTGGGTTCTTTAAAAGAAGATTTTTTAAGTTTTTACTATATGCATATAGGGAAAATCAATGACCCCCCGGGGCGGGGCCAATTTTGACCCCAGGGCTTTTATTTGAAAAAACTTGGTAGACACTCACTAGAAGATGTTTCATGCCAAATATCTAAGCTCTAGCTCTTAGGGTTTTTTAAAGGAAGATATTTAAAGTTTTTTCTTTCGGTTGCCATGGCAACCAGAGTTCTGCATGGAATTAAATTCTTTGAACAATTTTTAAAGGTGACCACCAAAGGAACATTCCTGTGAAGTTTGGATGAAATTGGCTTAGTGGTTTATGAGGAGATGTCATTTAAAGTAAAAGTTTACCGACGGACGGACGACGGACGGACGCCGGACGAAAAGCGATCACAAAAGCTCACCCTGTCACTTTGTGACAGGTGAGCTAAAAAAACTCAAATCGGAATGACTTGTTTAATTTCCTGCTGTTTAACAACATCACTATTTATGTATTAAAACCAGCCTGGTGTACTCTTATCGTGCCTTTACAACATCAAATACAATCACTGTGTCACATGTTTAAAATATTTTCCAAATTAAGGATGCATCAATTTCTAACATCTTAATTAAATATTTTTAAGTAGACAAATAAATTCATTATAAAATTGTCACAAATAAATGACAAAAATGTGGACGGACACACGCACACAAACAAATATACACAGTGCAAAATAAAATTATATACATTTATTAATGTATCCCATCATAGAGGGGGCAAAGGTTAAACTGTGTTAACTCTATTTACTAAGTAAATAATTTCGATCATTTACAACTAATGGTTTTAGTACTTTCTACACTAACTGCATAAAAAATGGTTTGTGTTACTGTTTAGTAAATAAAACATTTGAGTCCATTCTTACAAATAGTATTTGACACAATGTTTTCAATCTATTGACCATCTCACTCACAGAATTTTGATATCTCCAAAAGTCAATTGATATGTTAAGTTCACTGTTTTATGATTATAAACTCTTGACAAATTATAGAATTTATTTACTTCTACTTGTACTGTATCTCCTTTATTTCCTATAAAATCAATTAATGATTTAGTCATTTGCATTTTGTAGCATCTGAGACACTATATACCATTATTATATCATCACCTTAGTGCAATAACTGGTTAACTCCTATTAAATTTAGAAGGACTTAACCCGTTATTGCACTAAGGTGACAATATATGTCTCTGCTCTTGAAATATTCAATATCTGCATGACTAGAATTCAGTCATTTCCACTGTTTATACATAACATCTGGTCATTATGATATGCAATCAAAACTCCAACTTAGAATTTAGTCATTTTCCAGTTGTATAAATTGTACATCAAATTATCTCCTCTTGTTGTAACAGTCAACATATAAATTAGTCACTTCCATTTTGAAACATATTGCATACATGCCATAACGTCCCGGATGCCCGGGATTGTCCCGGAAATCGGATGTCTGTCCCGGAGATGTCCCGGGCATCGATTTGATCCCGGAAAAAAAAAATCATGATATTTTGCAAAATTTTCATAAATTTTCTTAAATCAAATCTCGCACATTTCACCTCTAGATCGTAAAACATAATCTGACCTGGTACACATAATACACAGGAACGTTGACACTTACAAGTTTACAATATACAGCCCCCCAATTATCGACTGTCGATTCCCCTCGGCAATAGATTCTTCATGCATCGGCAATTAACATTCTCTGTTGAATTCGGCAGCGTTTAATGGTCGGGTTAATTAATTGTTTACGGCCCTAAACAATTATCGTTAATCCCCGATAATCATTAATTTTTAGATCAATCGCTAACTTGCCGAAAGTCTAATTATTACAAACAATGTAAATATATCTATCAAATTAAAAAATTAAAGGTGTCAAATAAATCACCTTGCTGTGTTTGTTTTTATGACTGGAAGAATTGCATTACGTGACATGTAGTAATTATCATGACTTTAAGATATAACGGGTGAACAACATGGCTGCGCCCATTCACCGGGTTTATAATTTACAACTTACTTGCTTTTAGGGAATAATAAATTAAATAAAGAAATACTTTTAAAATGATAAATATGTCGACCTAAAAGACAACTTATAAAACTAGTAAGTTAACTGTTTATCATTAAAATTCAGGAGAAAGTCGTCCTAATTTAATAACGTTATACGATTGACACCCCCCCCCCTTTTCCACAACTGCCTACACATCCATTATTGCCGCGATGAAAAGTGTCCCGGAAAGCTGTCCAAAAATTATGGCATGTATGATATTGCAACTACTTAGAATTTAGGCATTTCCCTAGTAACTTCCTTCATTACTCCCAGTTGATTTGCATCAATTCTCTTCTTTGGGTTTAGTCACTTCCATTTTTTAACATAACACAACTACTTTAGTCACTTCCACTGATACTACATTACACAAAGCCAATGATTTAGTCATGTCCACTTGTGATGTAAAAGAGCATCCTCGCTTTTCATACCAACATAGAATTTAGTCACTTTCACATGTACATATTTATTAAATCTTTTAGTCACTTCCATTGTGTAAGATATAACAAATGGCTAGAATTAAGTCACTTTCACTGCTAGAATTTTCACTGCTAGAATTTAGTCACTTCCACTGTTAATGCATAATAAGTTGTCAATTGATTTGCAATGAACTCTATAATTTGGAACTTAGTCACTTCCATTTTTAACATATTACAACTGGTAAGAAGTTAGTCACTTCCACAGCTACCTTGATAAAACACCATGTGAACTTATTGACAATCAGTTCAGAATTTAGTCACTTCTACCTGTACTGTGTTACAGCTTGTTGAAGGGTTCACATCTGTCTCAATCTTTAATTCTTTCAATGATTTAACACTCTGAAAATTTAATGGAATTTGTCTTTTGTAAAAAAAAGGTACAATTTTATGTTTCAAATTCTTGTATTTACTGTAACAAAACTAATATTTTATCAACATTGTATCACAAGTTCAATTCAATGCAAATTTTAGACTGCCTCAGTCCTATATAAATATAAACAATTCAATTTTTTTTCAAATATCAGCCTAAAATATCAAAACATATCTATCAGCTTAAAATATGAAAACACAGTTCAAGATATGTTAACAATGATTCAACCTATATCCATAAAGAATTGAGAATAAAAATAATATATACACATTTTGATACTGAAGCCCATAAAGAGACTCCACCGAGTTTTTTTTTTACTTGACAGGACTGGAAATGTTTGATATCAATATTCCATTTGATGTAGATCCGGACCAGTAACTTGTGTGCAAAATTTCAGACTGCTTGCTCACTTCATTTGTGAGAGATGACTTAAAATTGAAAAACCTTGCAATGCATTTCACTCAACTCCGGTTTAGAATAGCAAACAAATATGACTTTCATTTTTTTTCTAAGTATATTTCTTAATCATCTTTTGCTTTAAAGTACCTCAGCTGTTATATATAAAAAATAAAATTATATGTTTTTAGGTATGTTTTGGACCTCTTTAAAACAAAAAAAAAAGACACTTCCAAATTCTTAATAGGGCAATTCACAGAAGGGCATTTCATTCTACAAAATGCATGTAGCAGTTGAAATTTTTAGGTAATATTTGTCTTTTGTTTGATTGGGTTTTTATGTCACACTGACACAGTCTAAGTCATATTTCGACGTTCCAACTTTACTGGTGGAGGAAGACCTCAGGTGCCCCTCCATGCATTATTTCACGCACAAACGGGCAGCTAAGTAGAACCACCGACGTTTCGTAAGCTAGCTGGAAAGCTTCCTCACATGAAAGAATCCAAAGTCCCTGTCGGGATTCAAACCCACAGCGGTGAGGGGAAAGTGACAAGTGAAGTCAACGACCTCAACCACAGATTGCCACGAAAAGGTTATAAGATAATCTCTTACTTACCCCTTGTTTGAGAGCCAATGTAAAACTTCTTGTATCTGTCTGTGTTCCTACATCCTGCGATCCAATACTGGACTTCTTTCTTGTAACAATGAGAACATCTGCCGAGGGTGACAGCTCACAGAATGACAGTCTCGGCTTAATTTGATCAATGGAACCTGTGCAACAATTGAAATGTTACAGTTATATGAAACTGAAATTATTTTTAATCTATTTTATATGTTTGACTGTAATATAGAAATCTAGGACAAGTAAATTCATAAAATATTGCAAATTATGTATGTTTAAAAAAGAATAAACTCAAATATGTACAAAAGTTTTATTATGACTATCCACTGCTTCAAAGTCATTTGATTCCATTTGAAATACAACTTTGCGATGCAATTAGACCCTTTTTAGCATGTTACATACATGTACGTCTTTTATTTGAAATACATTAAAAATGGTGACATTTTAAAGGCATGGCTAACTGTAAACATTTTAAGAAGCACTACCTACCATCGGACATATTGCATTGTGGTTCACTGTAAAGCACTGTATACCTGCCTTTGGGCATATTGCATAGTGGTTCATTTTAATTATTTTACAGGTAACCACTACCTACCATTGGACATATTGCATTGTGGTTCATTTCAAACAATCTAAAGGCAAACCACTACCAACCATTGGACATATTGCATTGTGGTTCATTTCAAACAATCTAAAGGCAAACCACTACCAACCATTGGACATATTGCATTGTGGTTCATTGTAAACATTCTAAAGCAAAGCACTTCCTATCAGTGGACATATTGGATTGTGGTTCATGTAATACCTTCTAAAGCAAAGAACTACCTACCATTGTAAATACTGCATTGTGTTTCATTTCAAACAATCTAAAGGCAAAGCACTACCTGCCTTTGGGCATATTGCATAGTGGTTCATTTCAAACAATCTAAAGGCAAAGCACTACCTACCATTGGACATATTGCATTGTAGTTCATGGTAAACATCCTAAAGGCAAAGCACTTCCTAAGAATAGACATAATGCATAGTGGATTACTGTAAACAATCTAAAGGCAAAGCGCTTCCAATCATTGGGCATATTGCATTGAGGTCTAAAGCAAAACACTACCTACCATTGGACATATTGCATTTTGGTTAATTTTAAACAATCTTAAGCAAAGCACTACCTAACATTGGATATATTGCATTGTTATTCATTTTAAACAATCTTAAGCAAAGCATTACCTGCCATTGGACATATTGCATTTTGATTCATTTTAAACAATCTAAAGATAATCACTACCAACCATTGGACATATTGCATTTTGGTTCATTTTAAACAATCTAAAGATAATCACTACCTACCATTGGACATATTGCATTTCGGTTCATTTTAAACAATCTAAAGCAAAGCATTACCTGCCATTGGACATATTGCATTTTGATTCATTTTAAACAATCTAAAGATAATCACTACCTACCATTGGACATATTGCATTTCGGTTCATTTTAAACAATCTAAAGCAAAGCACTACCTGCCATTGGACATATTGCATTTTGGTTCATTTTAAACAATCTAAAGCAAAGCACTACCTACCATTGGACATATTGCATTGTGGTTCATTTCAAACAATCTAAAGGCAAAGCACTACCTACCATTGGACATATTGCATTGTGGTTCATTTCAAACAATCTAAAGGCAAAGCACTACCTACCATTGAACATATTGCATTTTGGTTCATTTTAAACAATCTAAAGCAGAGCACTACCTACCACTGGACATATTGCATTGTGGTTCATTTTAAACAATCTAAAGGCAAAGCACTACCTAACAATGGACAAATTGCATTGTGGTTCATTTTGAACAATCTAAAGATAAACACTACCAACCATTAGACATATTGCATTTTGATTCATTTTAAACAATCTAAAGCAAAGCACTACCTAACATTGGACAAATTGCATTGTGGTTCATTGAAAAAATTCTTAAGCAAAGCACTTCCTACAATTGGACATTTTGCATTGTAGTTCATTGTAAACATTCTAAAGCAAAGCACTACCTACCATTGGACATATTGCATTTTGGTTCATTGTAAACAATCTTAAGCAAAGCACTACCTAACATTGGATATATTGCATTGTTGTTCACAGTAAACATTCTAAAGCAAAGCACTACATACAATGGACATATTTCATTGTGGATTACTGTTAACAATCTAAAGGCAAATCACTATCTAATAATAGAAATGTTGCATTGTGGTTCAGTGTAACCATTCTAAAGCAAAGAAAGCACTACCTACCATGGGGCATTGTGGATAATTGTTATCATTCTTTAGCAAAGCACTGCCTACAATTGGACATGTAGCATTATGGAATACTGTAATCATTCTAAAGCAAAGCACCAACTACCATATTGCATTGTGGATTACTGTAATCATTCTATATCAAGGCACTAAATTTCTACAATTTTGTTGATTACTGTAATCATTATAAAGCCAAGCACTACCTACCAAAAGAAATATAGCATTGTGGAATACTGTAAACATTACAAAGCAAAGCACTATCTTCCATTGTTGATAACTGTAAACATTATAAAGCAAAGCACTACCTACCATTGGACATATTGCATTGTGGATTGCTATAAGCATGGTTAAGTATTGCTTTTTGACGAAGCTCTTGTGGACGTTTAGGTGACATCTGCTTGTTGTGATTTATTAATGTAGCCTCAGACAACTTTGGCAAGCGGACTTGAGATGTTGTAAAATCAACACGATCTAAATAAATAAAACAAGCTAGTGGTTACTGGAAATAAACAACAAAATTTAACAAAGCACAGATGGCTACAGACATCAAAATTCTTATAAAGCACAGATGGAAACTTCTTAAATAGAAGTACAGATGGCAATTTCTTAAATGTAAACACAGATGGCAACTTCTTAAAAGGAAGCACAGATGGCAAATTTTTAAATGGAAGCACAGATGGCATATTTCTCTCATTCTTCATATTCACATTAACATTTCTTAAATGGCCATTGAATTTTGTTCATGACAAAACTAAAAAATTTTTCACAGGGAGACAATTCAAAATATAAACTAGACAAAGAACATAAACTAAACAGAGTTATGTTTCTTGCAAAATGTGAAACCTTTCAAAGAATTTTATCATTGCAAACACTTTCAACTAAACCCCCTAGAATTGCACTGGACTAGACAGTGTTCCTAATAAAGGATAATAGATGAAAAGGCACCCATAAGAAAACTCAGTGAACTAAATAATGCTGCTTATTGCTGTACATATCTGAATTTCTGTTAGTTGTTACTGAGTTAAGAAAAAAATTAGAGCTTAGAAGACATTATAGGGTCATAACTTTGTAAATTATAACTGAATTGGAAAATGCTACTAATATGCACAGCTCTTCCACAGCTGCTGTTGGAAGTGTTTTGTTTGTCACATTTGGGGTCACAATTCACAATGTAAAGTTTTCACAGTGACTTTCAAACTTTACTGGCGGAGGAAGACATCAGGTGCCCTAAAGTGCATAATTTCAGACACAGGCTGGCATCTGATGATGTTCTATAAGCTAGCTGGATAGCTTCCAAACAGTAAAGAGTGCAAAGTCCCTGACAGGATTCAAACCCTCAGTGGTGAGAAGCAAGTGATTTTAAGTCAACAACATTAGCCAATCAGTCAAAGAGACCCACTCATGTTGTAAGTGAAGCTCCCTATGAAGTTGTAATGAATTCCAATAGTAATACATGTAGTCTAGAAAAAAATTGTGGATATACAGGTCATGGAGGGATGGACAAAGTGATAAAGTATATACATCCCTTTTGAAACACATTATAACAAAATAATGACAAAAAGAATGTGTCTCAGCTTGCATGGTTGTATATAAGTATGCACTCACTTATGGTAAATTTAATATAAATATGGTACTGTATGATAATCACTATGGGTATTGTCTAAAACAACATTAATACACATATTTTACCTGTGACAGCATGGACAGGACTTTGTTCTATATCCACGGATAATGTATGTGTATTTACAGCCGGGTAGTATTCTACATGTTTCCAGTGTTTTATAAGAGCTGGTCCCCAATTATCTTGTGATAAACAGGACTCTTTTATTCTCTGTAAAAATTTAAAACTAACATATTCATCTGAATAGATATAGTCCTTGAAACTCATTTTTAAAACATAGAGAACAAATTATACTTGAAAAATAAAGCTCAAAAAACTATGACAAAATATCTAAAGTCTTTTAAGAATTCTAAATTTCACTGTCACAATGTGTCCCTATTTTTAAGTTGATTTTAAAGCATCAAAACCCAACTCAAACCATCAATGCCTGGTTGACCTAAATCAGTTCAATATCTCAATTGCTATTGAAAACAGTGAAAGTATTACTGAACCTTGAGCAGTGAAGGGGTAAATATTTACCTGTGTAATTGGTCCTTCTAGTGAACAAAGTTTCTTTACAGCATATCCTGGTATAGACACAACACACAGGACAGTGAGGGTAATAGCCAATGGCTCGGCCCATACTGGGAAATGCTCAGTTTTCAGATTTACCCCAGTAATAATGGCTGACACTAGGATGAACTGAAGAAAAAAATCGAATCTACGATTTCTTTTGAACTTATGTAAAGAATAATAGAAATGTGCTTGAGAATATACAATAGTCACTGGTACTGTCATTTTAAAATACCTGTTCATTCCAACACTTACACGTCAAATACAATATAAATTATGTACATGTTTCATATGAGAATTATAAAGCTTGAAATAAAACTGAATTATTTCTTTTCTTTAGTTGGGTTATACATTGCACAAACAAAATATAGATCATATGGCGACTTTCCAGCTTTATTGGTGGAGGAAGACCTCAGGTGCCCTTCTGTGCATTATTTCAGTCATGAACAAGCAAATGAGTAGAACCATCATTATATTTTTTAAAGGCACCATAGTAGTTAAAATGTACTCTTTATCCACAGGTTATTGGATTTATGTCCTAGCAGCGTCACAACAATGTTTTCAGTCTTACAACACCAATTCTACTCAATTCAGAAGGCGGACTTGGTACAATAATAACTTGTTGAATGAACTTTCTTCACAACTATTCCTTAGGAAAAAAACAGATTCATACAAAAAAACTGATTCATACAAAAAATAAAACTTACCACCATGATTACTGGAGATATAAAACACCACATTGCACGCCACCATAAACTAACCGAATTTCCCAACATCAACTGTAAATCTGTTGCGAAATGACGTATCTTGTACACCCAGGCCAGTCCTACACACATAAATATACCTATCACAACATTTGGCATTCCACCGCAGAATTCATCCAACAGCTGTAGCAAGAATGGACCACCCTGAAATATACAAAGACAGCTAATAAATTATCTTATATTCTAAAAATACAAGAGGGTGATGATGGGTGAAAATTGCTCACCTTAATTAAAATTCAATCACCCAAAGAAAAAAATATATCCCAGTACAGTACTATTACAAATTCCAAGGAACAATCTTAATTCATTGACAATACTTGCCAATTTTTTAAAATTATTTTTCTTTTATTTTTTAGCACTGGCACTGCTTTCTTTTTCAAAAGACCAAAAGATTTCAGCTATTGTTGTTATTGGCCATCCAAGAACCATTCTTGCGTCAATTCATCAAAATATACCCAGCTGTTGAGAGGATATTTTGTTAAAAACTTTTTTCTTCTATTTTTAGGTCTGGCAGCCATCTTATTCAGCAGAGCAAAACAATTTTAGCTATTTCTATCATACAAGGATCATTCCTACAAGTTTTATTAAAATCTATCGCACCAAGAAATTGAGATTTAGGCTATATGTCCTTTGAAGTTTATTTCTATTATTATGATACTATTATTATTTTATTTAATTAAAATAATTTACATGCCTGAGTTGTCATAGGAAGTCCAAGCAGATACAGAGCAGAACACGTGATAAACAGCACAATAATTCGTGACTTGCGGAAAATTTCCATGTTCTCGTCCATCACCACTGTGATGATGATCTCAGTCATCACGAGGATTGAACTCATCCCCATCATCACTATCATCAAGAAAAAGAATGCTGACCACATTGCCGATGGCTGGAAGTTGGTTACAGCAGCAGGAAATGCGACGAACACCAGACCGATGTCTGCAATGTAACAATTAAATTCAATAATCAAAGTTATTTGATGATGTTTAAAATGCATACATTAACTTTTCAAATAATGATATTTCAGAGAAATTACAAAATACTATTATGTTTTTGTATTGTGCCATCCACAAAAATCCAAACCATTAGATAATAAGCCATGGCTTATTTTAACTTCAGTAGGTCAAGTTGCTTACTTTCAGGGACAGTTTTTTTCAAGGTTGGTATATTTCTGAGTGAAAAAAAGTCTTATTTATTATTTTTCATTTAAAAAAAAATAAAAAGTCTTTTTAAGTAGCTAGCATTTTCAAGTTTATGAAATAAATAAACATTTATGTATGATGCATGACTAAAGATTTTACTGTTAGGTAGCTTGGAAGATTTGGATTTTCTTTAAATAAACATTCAAGTACTGTAGTCTTTTGCTTTTTGGGGGGTTTTAGTATTTTGTTGGTTTCAATGTATAGATGCTAAAACTTACTTGAAGTAACCACATTTTCGACAGTGGTGTTAAGCTGGTGAGCTAAAATCCCCATAGATGCAAACACTGTGAACCCAGCTAGAATACTCATCAATGTGTCTATTACACATATCAATATAGCATCTCTGTAATATAACAATTAAAACTTTTTAAAGAGGATTGGTATACAATGGGCAAATTTTCCACAAATATTTTAAATATTGATAAAAACAATAAAATTGTAGCATTTTGATATTCTTATGAAATATTTCTGGAAAGAAAAATCTTGGTGAAAAAAAAAATCAAGTGATTTTGTATGATCATATATTTAAATAACAATATTTTGTTCTATAAACACCTTTAAAATGATTATCTGCTATATGCTATAATATATTGATAAGTTTACACAGGATCATTATATCTAAGGCATACATATATTATTCTTTTGTGTTTTTTTTCACATGTGATACTAAAATACTTTCTGCATAATTGCTAACAGTATCACAGTTGTTTTTTTTATCATGGACCAATTCACTTTAATATATCACTTGTTTTATATCAGTAATACATTAGTCAACAATGATTCGTATACAAGTATCAGCATTACAAATCTTAAACACATTAACATAAAATGATTCATATATCAGTATTGCAAAGATCGAACAATTTATTATACAATGTTTCATATATCAGTATTGCATTGGTTATCAATATATATTTTTTGTATTGCTGTAATGAATAAATTGAAAATAATTCATTTATCAACACTCATAGATCAATTTAATATGCAGGGGATTCATACATGTACATGTATATTGCATATTTATATACAATGATTTATAAATCATTATCAGTACCAAACAGCTGACCCAAATTTATCTATAGTGATTCATTTATCACTATTGCATTTTTGTAAAAAGAAAATATTTACAGTGATTCACATATCATTTTTTATATTCCCTGGGAGATGCTGTGCCTAGTTTAGCACCGAGGAAGGTAGTCTAGTACTGGTGTAACTCTCCAGGAATGATGGTTAGGAAACTACCTGCCTATATGACTGAAATACTGTTGGGAAAAGGCGTAAAATCAAACAAACAAACTGTAGATATTGTTTAGATTCTTATAGATATTGTTTAGTAACCTTTCCAAACTGTTTAGTTACCTGTAGATATTGTTTAGTAACCTTTCCAAACTGTTTAGTTACCTGTAGATATTGTTTAGTTACCTGTAGACATTGTTCAGTTACCTGTAGATATTGTTTAGTAACCTTTCCAAACTGTTTAGTTACCTGTAGATATTGTTTAGTTACCTGAAGATATTGTTTAGTTACCTGTAGACATTGTTCAGTTACCTGTAGATATTGTTTAGTTACCTGTAGTTATTGTTTAGTTACCTGTAGACATTGTTCAGTTACCTGAAGATATTGTTTAGTTACCTGTAGTTATTGTTTAGTTACCTGTAGTTATTGTTTAGTTACCTGTAGACATTGTTTAGTTACCTGTAGTTATTGTTTAGTTACCTGTAGACATTGTTCAGTTACCTGTAGATATTGTTTAGTTACCTGTAGTTATTGTTTAGTTACCTGTAGATATTGTTTAGTTACCTGTAGATATTGTTTAGTTACCTGTAGACATTGTTCAGTTACCTGTAGATATTGTTTAGTAACCTTTCCAAACTGTTTAGTTACCTGTAGATATTGTTAGTTACCTGTAGATATTGTTTAGTTACCTGTAGACATTGTTCAGTTACCTGTAGATATTGTTTAGTTACCTTTTCAAATTGTTAAGTTACCTGTAGATATTGTTTAGTTACCTGTAGATATTGTTTAGTTACCTGTAGATATTGTTTAGTTACCTGTAGATATTGTTTAGTTATCTGTAGGTATTGTTTAGTTACCTGTAGATATTGTTTAGTTACCTGTAGATATTGTTTAGTTACCTGTAGATATTGTTAAGTTATCTGTAGATATTGTTTAGTTACCTGTAGATATTGTTTAGTTACCTGTAGATATTGTTTAGTTACCTGTAGATATTGTTTAGTTACCTGTAGATATTGTTTAGTTACCTGTAGATATTGTTTAGTTACCTGTAAATATTGTTTAGTTACCTGTAGATATTGTTTAGTTACGTGTAGATATTGTTTAGTTACCTGTAGATATTGTTATGGAACTTGTTATAACTAGACAGTGTTGTAAGACCTCCACTACAAGCTGATAACGAGAAGAACACCTGAGAGGCAGCATCGCTCCACACCTGCATTGATAACACCTTGTCCCATTTAGGGGTCACATAAAATCGGATTCCTTCTAAATGACCGTCCACCATCATCGCACAGATTAACAGCACAACCAGTAAAACTATTGGAATTATCACAACAAAATATGCTACCTGTTAATAAATATAAAAGAATAAATAAGCTGATTTTCAAAGCTACTGACATTAATTTCTTAATAGGTAACAATTAAATTTTCTTAAGCTTGAAATCCAAATCACAAGCATCATACATCATTTTAAAAAAGTTCAACAATAAATATTTAAACCTTTCAGAATAATAAATATTTAAATCTATGAGTGAATAATTATGCATCTGCAAATTTTTGGAAAATCCAGATTTTTTAAATGACAAATATTCCTCTAAATTGTCATATTTTATAGAAAGAGTAATTTTTCTACATCTTCAAGTCACTGTTTCCTTGGTCCTTTGTTCAACCAAAGGACAGTCTGCATTTTCTTCTAATCACATGGCATAGATATGTACTGTACATTGTTCCTTTGCAATGAAAATGATACTTTACACCTCCATGAAATAAAAATTCACATTAGAGTGACGTCCCCTGACTAACCTTTCCAGCAGAGTAGATTCCCCTGACCAAGCACATGAAAACAATAACCCAGCAAAGCAAAAGATAGAGTGCAAGTTGCCACTGTACTGATCCAAAATCCTGCAGGCCTTCAGACTGGTGTAATACTTCATTACTGTAATTACATAGTATATTTTCATAGGAATTTTTAAAAATATTATGATAGAAATGTGTCTATATTCTTAAACATTGTACATTCTAAGTATCAGACTTTACAAGAGCTGTGTCAGCTAAGGAAAGAATGCTTGACTATTCTCAGTGGTGACAGTAAAACAAGAGCCTTGATAAAGCAGAAGTTCAAAGAAGGCCTAAAATCTGCCAAATCCATGTAAGAGTTTTAGGCCTTGAAAAGTGACCTCCTATTATTGCTCTCAAATAAGTGTGTGAAGTTTCAACCTATTCCTTTCAGTAGTGTTGGAAATGCCAGCTTGAACATTGTTCTTCAAATATTCTGGCTGAAAATGGAAAATATCTGTTTTGCCAATACTTGTTTGAATTTACAACACAATGCCATAACTATTTTAACCTTGGTGTCAAATTAATATTATAATGAAAATATTTTGAATTACAAAACGATAAACATAATAGAAAAGACATTATCAAAAACCTACTGGAAATATTCCTCACTTGGATCTTTAAGGTTTGCCATCAAATGCTGTTTCTCTGGTATATACAAAGCATCTCCAAATTTTCCATGTAACCAACTAATACAGCCTGTAAATAAAATATGTCCAGCTATATTATTCCATAATGCTGCACTAATGCAAAAAATGGTCAACATGCAATGGCAGCTCCGCTCCATACTTTTCAGCTTTAAGGTTTGGTTACACAAAACTATTGAACCATCTGTTTGTTAACATGTACAGTGTTACCTCTTCAAAGTGGACCATTGTAAAGCAAAAACTAGAATCTCTAGTCAATATCAATATTATTTCTTTCAAAAGTAAAGATTTCCACTATAATTTACCTTTATAGAGCAATTAACTCTTTACAACAACAATATTATTTCATCCAAAAGTAATGATTCCTGCTATAATTTACATCTGGCTATAATTTACCTCTATACAGCAACACCTCTAGGTAACAACCAAATCATTTGTTTTCCAAAGGGTGTTGCTCTACACAGGTTATACTGTAGTTTGCTAATTCTGTGTAATGTGTACATTAGACTTATCCAATCTTTTATTTGGAACCGTCATTTGCTAGTTTAAATGATTTTAAAATAGAAGTGCTACAAATAAACACCTATGGATCATAAAGCTTAGCTGGCATAATGCAAATACAAGAGGCCCATTATTTTTGCTGCTAACTACTCATACAAGAGGTCCATTATTTTTGCTGCTAAGTACTCATGCAAGAGGTCCATTATTTTTGCTGCTAAGTACTCATACAAGAGGTCCATTATTTTTGCTGCTAAGTACTCATACAAGAGGTCCATTATTTTTGCTGCTAAGTACTCATACAAGAGGTCCATTATTTTTGCTGCTAAGTACTCATACAAGAGGTCCATTATTTTTGCTGCTAAGTACTCATACAAGAGGTCCATTATTTTTGCTGCTAAGTACTCATACAAGAGGTCCATCATTTTTGCTGCTTAAAGTACTCATACAAGAGGTCCATTATTTTTGCTGCTAAGTACTCATACAAGAGGTCCATTGTTTTTGCTGCTTAAAGTACTCATACAAGAGGTCCATTATTTTTGCTGCTTAAAGTACTCATACAAGAGGTCCATTATTTTTGCTGCTAAGTACTCAAAAAGACAAATGTTACAACTACAATCATGCAGTCTCAAAGCTGCAGTGATCATAATAGCTTGAAACAGACGAGCTAGAAACAGACTTGGGTGTGATAAATGCAACTGAAAAAAACTTTTTTTTTCGCAAAAAAGCACATGTTCATAAGAATTTTTTGTTATGATAATTAATAATGACAATGATATTTCATCAGTTTTCAGTGCAGGAGATAATAATAATCATATGTGACTTTTAGAACATTAAATGCAGATAATATTAACCCTTTCGCTGCCAGAGGGTTATTGTTTTATTGTTCACCTATTTGCCAGAGGATTTTCTAAGAAATTACTATATTATTAATTAATATAATTATTATTATTTGTTATTAGTATTATAATAATTATATATGTTTCCAAATTTGTTAGTATAATAATAATTATTGTTGATGGTATAATTTTCTTTATATTTATTATTATTTTTATTATTATTATTATTAATTAATTATTATTACTAGTTTTATTATAGAAACGGCTAAAGCCGTCCATATGGCAAATACGCCGAAAATAACAGAGACGGCTTAAGCCGTCCCTATGGCAGTGAAAGGGTTAATATCATGCTTAATTCTATTTCAATTCCAAACAAGCTAAATTTCCATCTAGAACTAGAAATGTGTCCATAAGACATGGATGCCTACACATTCCACAATGTTTTATCACCACATTTCGTAGTGTTTATCAACCATTTCATAGTGTTTATCACCACATTTCACAGTGTTTATCACCACATTTCACAGTGTTTATCACCACATTTCACAGTGTTTATCACCACATTCCACAATGTTTTATCACCACATTTCGTAGTGTTTATCAACCATTTTATAGTGTTTATCACCACATTCCATAGCGTTTATCACCACATTCCATAGTGTTTATCAGCACATTCCATAGTGTTTATCACCACATTTCACAGTGTTTTATCAGTCTATGGACAGACAGTGTGACAGTGTGGAAGTGTAATATATATAATAGAACAAACAGACAGAGGCAAATCTATATGCCCCCTAAAATTGGGAACATAGAAATTATTTTCAAAAGTTCATATAAGGCCATTTACCTGTTACATTATCTTGTATAAATTGTGAGTGATTATCTGATTTGATACATTCCTGTAGATATGTGCCACATGATGTGTTCTGTACTGTAGGTTCATCAAGGAATGTTTCATTTAACAGACTACAGTTTGTCACTTGATACTTGTTTAATCTGCAAGCTACACAGATAATATACAATGTTATTGATAAATAAAAATGAATTTTTTAGGCAAAATTAAAATCAGATGCTTTGATTAGGTCAATTTTTTCCCAACTAACATTAAATCAGATCATTGACCTTGAGTAAGGGTTTCAGGTGAAATTCATTTACATTGCTATGTAAAGCCTAGTATCTAGTATATTGTTGCATTAAATGTATATTAATACTCTGTGCTAGTTTTCCGCACGTAAAAATTCCTGCTCATTTACATATTTCTTGTCAAATTTCATCCCATTTCCACCCAGAATATGCTCTTTATTTGACTTGTTTAGATTCCGGGTGGAATCCAAGTGCTAATTTCGTTCCATTTCCGAGCTTAACATTTCATACAGGAAGCAAAGTCATTTTATAAATTCTGGTAGAAACTAATAATAAATTTCACAACATGCGTCAAACATTTCAGATAAGACCATAAAATGAGCCGTGTCATGACAAAACCAACATAATGGGTTTGCGACCAGCATGGATCCAGACCAGCCTGCGCATCCGCGCAGTCTGATCAGGATCCATGCTGTTCGCTATCAGTTTCTCTACTTGTAATAGAGTTGGTAAGCGAACAGCATGGATCCTGATCAGACTGCGCGGATGCGCAGGCTGGTCTGGATCCATGCTGGTCGCAAACGCATTATGTTGGTTTTGTCATGACACGGCTCAAATAATCACACTTGTATTCATTATTATATCAAATGTTAGCCATTCCATTCCAATCTATTACCACCCGAGATATAAAAAAGTAATTTCTTCAACTATTCTGTTGACATAACAGATTACATAGGAGAAAAATAAACACTAATATTGCATCATTTATAGAGTAAAATCCATGGAAAGCCAAAACGGCTATCAGGTAAAGTAAACTAGACTTTGACAATAAAACGGTTTTTAATGATTCTCTAAGGCAAACATATTGTAAACATAGTGAAGGAATTGTAGCATTATTAAATGTCATATAATACATGTACAATGTATAGAAAATTCTATAAAAGCAGAGAATTAATGTGATTCAAAACATTAAATATATTCATGATAAAGTCTAAATAGTTCCTCTATGTGTCCAAATATTCTGTGGCAAGATTGTTTAAAAGCTAAATAAAACAGGTACGGATTTGATATTAAACCCATATAAGGGAAACACAAATTTACATAGAAAAATATCAACAAACAACAAAAATATGCCATAAATACCATGGCAACTATTTGAATTGCAATGTAATTTAATGTCAAACGTCAAAGATGGCATTAAATCTATATTACGTGAAAAGCATCATATATATGCTAAAATCATTATTTCATGGTATAAAACTCATATGGCCCTCTTTAAAATATGGAAAATATAATTATTTGCTTCTGAGCCAGAATGTGCTTGTAAGTCTGTATATATTGATCAATTTACAAAAACTATATATATAAACATGAAATGTAACTCTATAAGTACATTTTCTGCATCTGTTCACATGATTTTATTAAAGTTACATAAGTATTAAGATTATCTTTGAAAAATATTTACATTTACTGTAAATCACTTTATATTCATGAGAACTTTTTTTCTTCATGGGAACCCCCTTCCTAAATTTCCTATTTTGCAGATTTGTGAATTCACCATGGCATGGTAAGTATAATTAAAGATCATGATTTTTTTGTATCTTATTTGTGCAATACAACAGGAAAAAGAAGTCTATTTGTGCAATACAACAGGAAAAAGAAGTCTTAAATTAAATTTTATTGATTTCCATTCCAAAGCAAACTAAATATGTTAATATACTTTAAATGTTATCCAGTAGTGTTCATTTGATGACAGTTATCAATTTCATATACATTGCTCTCCCGTAATTGATTGATTTTTTTACTGAAGAAAAATAACATATTTTTAATCCTTTGTCACATTTGGTTATTGCTTATTTAGAAAGTAGTTGATAAAACATTAAATGTTTGTAAAATAGTACAATATTTCAAATGATACTTACAGCAGCACACCTCCAGATTCAACTTAATTTTCATGAAAATTTTGAAAATGTATTTAAAGGTGAAATATTGTGAAATGAACAAAGAAAGTACTTGACACATTACAATCGGCACTTAAAATCCATGTAAATTACAAAAATTACAAAAAGGAGGTCAAAATATGCATAAATAGCTCCTTAACTGTGTTAGTAACGCAGTAGAAATATGGTGATAAACACTTCAAAATACAGTCATTAATTGCCCATAAGATATAAATTATCACTTGAATCTTTAATTTGTTTACTTTTCTCAAAGTTTTAGTATGGTTTTTCAAAAATTTTTTAAAATATTTTGGGTCATCGGGAGGCATGCAGCTTTAAGTTATACACTTTATATTAAGACTTGTAAATTTTACATTAATCACTATTGTTATCATTAATCTATTGTTACCTAAACAATAGAATATGCTCAATAGCCATACCTTCAGTGTTCCACTTATTATCACATGATGCCCACGGTAGATTTGCAGTAAATGACGAGAATAAATAATGGAATGCCCAAGCATTGATGATGTTGTAGTACACACATACCAGGGCAACACTGACAACCATAGCATATCCAACACCTACAAATATAAGACATTCATTCATTTAGTTTGTTGCTAAAATAGCAAGTTTTAAAATTAGTATTACATTGACCTTTACCTTATCATTTTATTTGAAAGACCTTATACACAGATCAGGGCAACACTAACAACCATGGCATATCCAACACTTACAAAACAAGATATGTTTGTAAAACATGTATGCCCCCTATCAGCAGCCAATTAGTTATGTGATAAGGTTATTATGCATGACTTCTGACCCAGTGATCAAACAATTAATAAGGGTTATCAAGTATCTACTGGTCATGACCTTAACCTTTGACCCCTTGACCCAAAACTCAATAGAGGTCATCTGCTGGTCATGACCAATCATCATACAAAGTTTGAAGTTCCTAGGCCTAAGCGTTTTTAGTTAATTGATCGGAAACCGTTTTTACCTACAAAGTCAATGTGACCTTGACCTTTGACCCCTTGACCCCAAAATCAATAGGTCATCTGCTGGTCATGACCTATCACCATACCAGGTTTGAAGTTCCTAGGCCTAAGGCTTCTTTAGTTATTGATCGGAAACCATTTTAACATACAAGGTCAATTTGACCCTGACCTTTGACCCAAAAATCAATATGGGTCATCTACTGGTATGACCAATCACCATGCCAAGTTTGAAGTTCCTAGGCCGAAGCGTTCTTTAGTTATTGATCAGAAACCGTTTTTACTTACATTGTCAATGTGACCTTGACCTTTGACCCCTTGATCCCAAAATCAATAGGTCATCTGCTGGTCATGACCAATCACCATACCAAGTTTGAAGTTCCTAGGCCTGAGGGTTCTTAAGTTATTGATTGGAAAGCATTTTTACCTACAAGGTCAATGTGACCTTGCCCTTTGACCCCTTAACCCAAAATATCAATAGGGGTCATCTGCTGGTCATGACCAATCACCATACCAAGTTTGAAGTTCCTAGGCCTAAGGGTTCTTAAGTTATTGATCGGAAACCGTTTTTACCTAAAAGGTCAATGTGACCTTGGCCTTTGACCCCTTGACCTCAAAATCAATAGGGGTCATCTACTGATCATGACCAATCACCATACCAAGTTTGAAGTTCCTAGGCCTTAAAGTTCTTTAGTTATTGATCGGAAACCGTTTTTACCTACAAGGTCAATGTGACCTTGACCTTTGACCCCTTGACCCCAAAATCACTAGGGGTCATCTACTGATCATGCCAATCACCATACCAAGTTTGAAGTCCCTAGGCCTAAGGGTTCTTTCTATATTGATCGGAAACCGTTTTTGCCTACAAGGTCAATGTGACCTTGACCTTTGACCCCTTAACCCCAAAATCAATAGGGGTCATCTGCTGGTCATAACCAATCACCATACCAAGTTTGAAGTTCCTAGGCCTAAGGGTTCTTTTGTTATTGATCAGAAACTGTTTTTACCCAAGAGGTCAATGTGACCTTGACCTTTGACCCCTTGACCCCAAAATCAATAGGGGTCATCTACTGATCATGACCAATCACCATACCAAGTTTGAAGTTCCTAGGCCTTAAAGTTCTTTAGTTATTGATCGGAAACCGTTTTTACCTACAAGGTCAATGTGACCTTGACCTTTGACCCCTTAACCCCAAAATCAATAGGGGTCATCTGCTGGTCATAACCAATCACAATACCAAGTTTGAAGTTCCTAGGCCTAAGTGTTCTTAAGTTATTGATCAGAAACCGTTTTTACCCAAGAGGCAGGGTTCCCACTCTTAGATATTTTGAAAATTTAAGGACTTTTCCAGGACTTATCAAGGACCTTTTTTGATTTTTTAAGGACTTTTTAGAAGATAAAATTTCAAGCTATTTGATTTTTTTTGTCCTTTGAATATGTTCATGGTAATGTTTAGCAACACCAATAAAATACATATAGTTCATGACATAAATCTAACTCTATCTAAGAAATACATTCAGTGTCTATAAATAATGAAATGTACTTTGTGAAAGAAACTGTTTTTGCAGGTTGTGTGCCATTTTCATGTAATTTTGCTGTTTTTAATGTTTCAAGGGATCACTTTTTGACCAGATATTCATAGTACTTATTAAATAATTTACCACACATTTGACCTCAGTCCACTTAAAGGCTTCAAAGAATGGCAAAAGCATGTCACACTGAAGGGTAAAATTATGAAAACTGCCTGCAGGTGATTCGACATTCAAAATTTCACAACTTTCATGTTTAAATGTTGTATTCTGCTTAAGTCAGTGCTACGGGAGGGGGGCGGTGTTCAAAAATGTATATTTGGGTATGTTTGATTACATCTTAGTGAAATTGTATATTGTATTCATGATTAAAACACAATTTTATTAGTACAACACATTATTTTTAGTATATATTGGCTATACTTAGGTATTTCGTGCTACCCGTGTGGCCAATTGGCTGTGCTCTGCCTTTACAATAGTTCATGTATGTAATCAGGGCCTCCACTAAGTTCCAAAATTTGGAAGTCAGACACTGCAAAATCTCTGATATTGGAAGTCACATTATATAGGTAAAGAAGGAAAAGTAGAACTTAAAGAAGTCACAAACCAAAATCAGGGAGTAAATGACTCCCAAACTTCCATTAATGGACGCCCTGTATGTAATACTATTGTTAATTTTATATTGATATACCTTTGGCTTTTAGCATGGTTGTGAGCAATTAGGATAAAAAACATTGCCCAAGGAAACAACCATACCTGTGAGCTTTCATCTTTTTCATGTGCTTTGAGCACAGGCCAATCAAGCAAACTTGGGGTCGATTTGTGACTGTCTTATAAGATTTTCCAAACAAAACCGCAATAGTAACCAGAAAATAAATGTTAAATCTCATAAATGTCAAAATTGGCCTCTTAAAAACACTTGTAAATCGAAAAATCATCAACATTCAAGATGCGGAAATCAATATACTGTGCTAAGACCGCCATTTTGGTTGTTTGATTTACCTCCCCTTTTCCAGACTAATTCCCGTACCTTCCCGGACTTTTTTCTGTATCAACACTAATTCCCGGACTTTTCAAGGCCGGGAGCTAGTGTTTTCAAATTCACGGACATTTCCCGTTTTCCCGGACAGCGTGGGAACCCTGAAGAGGTCAATGTGACCTTGACCTTTGACCCCTTGACCCCAAAATCAATAGGGGTCATCTACTGATCATGACCAATCACCATACTAAGTTTGAACTCCTAGGCCTTAAAGTTCTTTAGTTATTGATTGGAAACTGTTTTTGCTTACAAGGTCAATGTGACCTTGACCTTTGACCCCTTGACCCCAAAATCAATAGGGGTCATCTACTGATCATGACCAATCACCATACTAAGTTTGAAGTTCCTAGGCCTTAAGGTTCTTTAGTTATTGATCGGAAACCGTTTTTGCTTACAAGGTCAATGTGACCTTGACCTTTGACCCCTTGACCCCAAAATCAATAGGGGTCATCTTCTGGTCATGACCAATCACCATACCAAGTTTGAAGTTCCTAGGCCTTAGGGTTCTTTAGTTATCACCCGGAAACCATTTGGTCTACGGACCGACGGACCGACAGACCGACGGACCGACAAGTGCAAAGCAATATACCCCCTTTTCTTCGAAATGGGGGCATAATGAAGACAATAACTTGTTTCTAACAATAACACCTGTCCTTTTTAACCAATTTTTTGAAAGCCCTGTACTGTGCCAAAGATAAAAGTTTGTGTAATTCATGGATTTAGGAAGATGACAAGTTTAGTAACGATGACCTTGACCCCAGGGTACAAATGCAATACAAACTGGGGTATTCATATCAGCTTGCTATACACCAAGTTTGATTACAATATCTCATTCCTAACTATAGTTATTGTAGGAAACCATTTTTCTACTTTTTAGTAATAGTGATCTTGACCCCAGGGGATCCATATGCAAAAAAACCCCAAGGTCTTCATATAAGCATGCTATACACCAAATTTGATTACAATATCTCATTCCTAACTTAAGTTATTGTCCAGAAATTATTTTTCTATTTTCAGTAATGGCGACCTTGACCTTAAACCCATGGGGTCCAAATGCAATACCAACTGTGGTCTTCATATAAGCATGCAATACACCAAATTTGATTACAATAACTCATTCTTAACTATAGTTATTGTCCAGAAACCATTTTTTTTATTTTTAGCAATGGTGACCTTGACCCCAGGGGGTCAAAATGCAATACCAACTGGGGTTTCCACATAAAATTGCTATGTGCCATGTTTGCTTACAATGTCTCATTCCTTACTCTTGTTATTGTCCGGAAACCATTTTTCTATTTTCTGTAATGGCGATCTTGACCTTGACCCAAGGGGGTCTAAATGCAATACAAACTGGCGTCTTCATATAAGCATGCTTATACACCAAGGTTTATTACAATATCTCATTCCTAACTATAGTTATTGTCCAGAAACCATTTTTTTCTATTTTAGTAATGATGACCTTGACCCCAGCAGGTCTAATAGGGTCTCAACATAAAGTTGCTATATACCAAGTTTGATTACATTACCTCATTCAAAACTCTAGTTACCGTCCTGAAACCATGATGTGGATCGACCTATGAACTGACCAACAAGCTGACTCCTATATACCCCCCTATTAAAACTTTATTTGTGGGGGTATAACTAATAAACCAAGAAATTAAAAAAGCATACTGTCATTTTAAGCAAGTGTTGTCAACCTTGAACTTTATCCTTCTTGTCCTGTCACATTGAGGCTAGAATATTTTCTAGCAACATTATATTGTCTGTATATTATGAACAAAATGTCAGTTTATCCAATTATTCCTGTTCTTAGACGGCTGACAATTATTCTGTTATCAATTCTAAGCAGCAACGTGCATTAAACTTATTTAACTTCCCTGTTTTAATCAATTAGGAGTCAGAAATATAACAGCTTTGACAAAATGCTGTAAATTAATTCAGAACACATATAGTGTCATAATGTATTTAAGACTTGATCAAATTAAAAAACAGAATGTGAATTCCTCATATTTTTGCATTTGATTTTAAGAAAACGTGACAAATTAGGTCATAAGACATTTATCACCTTTTATTCAAGGCTATTTCATTTTCTTATTTTGTTTATTTACTGTCATTTTTCTATTGCCAGTAACAATTACACTGCCTGAAGGACGAGTCGGTTTACTTTTGATTTTCAGACTTAGTACATGGGTATAGCAGATGCCTCATTTCAAAGGTGACACTGGTTCTTAACATGCCCAATGTATCCTTGGCTTTTAAGGTGAGTTCCAAAAGGTGATAAGTATTGCAAGTGGGTGGGGGATCAAACCTGCAACATCTGTATTACTGGACCTGCACAACAACACTTAAGACTAAATTTAGGATTCCTCCTTTTTGCTACATATTTCAAACTACTATTTGTTCATTATTGAGTGTCAATTATGCTGATAATACTGAGTATTTGTTTTAAAATAGCCTATAGTTTTGAGCTTCTCACTAGTGGCCTTAAACACTGAAAACAAAGTTACTGAAGGTATAAATATGAAACTTATTAAATATATAATATATGCACTGTATATAAAATTTTCCAATACTGATTTTACTATCACAAACTCTTGATTCTTTAAATTTCTGAATGCTAATCATCAGTTATAGTTATGAGAACTTGCAAATGACCTACCATGGTAATTATAGTTTGACTTAACTGCTAAATTCTAGTATTTTCATTCTGAACCCCTTTATACTGACAGTGGACAAATATATAATTCTAAGAAATTATGGCAAGTCCACTTCAACAGTGCAATAGAGTAGGGATAAGGCGGGTCAAATATATATATTAAAATGGACCACCCACTGACAATGATCTGATGAAAAAATCATTTCAAATTGACATTCCTTTGAGAGAAAAAAAACAATTATATATGATTGTCACTTTGTCTACATCTGTGCTCACAATGAGACCTTTAAAACTCATGATACACAATGCTGACAATTCTCCTATAAAATCCTTATGCTTTTATCTTTCTGTTTAAAATACAATCACCTTAAAAGCCTGTGAAACACTGATAAGATCTCAAATTCCATTGGAAAAAAAGTAATATGGCATCTTTTAACAGATAACAAGAAAGAAAAAAAACTTGATTACAATTGTTTTATAGCATTTGAGGAAAGATTGATTCCAAAGCTCAGGCATTAACCCACCATCTGTCTCTGACAGTACATATGTACAGTGTGGTGGTGGTATTTAGACACTGGTAACAGCTGTTACAATACTGTATGGTAATGGTAATTAGATTTTAATTCAGTAATACAATTGGTCTGGAAAACTTCTGTATATCACACTCAGGAGAGTTTCATTCAGTGCAAATGCCCAAATTTAGGGATATTTTGCTTATCTTGTTACCTGAAACTTGATTAAGCTTAAACAAACATAACCAGATTCTGTACTGTAACACAAATTTCTGCAGGTTACCTCAACTGGAAGGTAACCTGTTAGTTTGCTAGAGCCTACAGGGCTCTCAGTTCTGGGTCTGAATGACAACTTGACCAAAAATTTTTACAAGTCAATTGATTCAATCACTTTTTTTCAAGCAAAATTGATCTGTTTTGTGTACTTTTTTTAAAGTAATCTGTGAAATAAATAAATATATAATTGTTAATATAAAGATAAGTTACAAATACTTGTTTATTTTTTGTTTTGTTTTTTTTTTTGTTTTGTTTTTTCAACCAATATTAACAAAATTATCTAGAATAAAGTTTATCCGAAAATACATATTGTCCTACTAATAATGATTTAAGTCTTTGTCATCAGTATAGAGCCTGGCCAGAGCCTGCACATCCCTATAGCCAAACCAGGCTCTTTAATGCTGGCAGCTCAATTTCTGTACCCTTCTTTTTGTTTTAGTAAAAGTCCTTGAAATTCAAATACATACTAAATATCTTACTAATGTGGATAAAACCATTCATTATTTTAACGGAAAATATGTACGGACTGAACAGCAAACAGTGCAGACCATGATCAGACAGCACAGATGTCCCAGTTGATCTTGGTCTGCACTGGTTGCATGGGTAGAATCTATTGCTACCAGCAGGCTTAGGATAATAAAATAACATTATCATCACACCATTATTAGATTACATAAATATATAAATTATGACTCAAACAAAGACTAAAATATATACATATATTCTAATCCCAAACAGCTGAAAGATAAATCAATGTTATTAATATCCTATCAACTTTTTATTCTGACATTGTATAATGCCAAATGCATATGTACCTGATTAATATAAAAAGATGCATAATATTACCTTTAAAGGTATTATGTAACACATGTTGCTATGTATCATTGCCTCTTAGATCTATTATAAAGCATTAATTTTAATATAATAGGTTTATTACGACAGTATCTAGATTTTTACTTGTACCCTGGCCAAATACAAGTGGCGGCATGGCCAAGTGGTAAACGAGTCAGATCTCTAAGGATCTCTAGCTGGGTTTTGGGTTCAAATCCCATCAGAAGCAAGCAATTGTTTCCTTCAATAATCTAAGGATCTCTAGCCATGTGGGTTCAAATCCCAGAAGGGGCAAGCCATAATGTTTCCTTCAGCAAGAAACTTTATGCTCATTGCTCAATACTGGTTAGTTCCTGGAAAGGATTCGAGAGTGTGTCTATAAGCTAGTAGCTTCCTGCACAATCAAACTAAATTTCAGTCAAGCAAAAAACACAAGGAATATTTGTATATAATGTCATAATTAAAACATTCCTACAATCATAAACGTTATCATGATTTTAACAAGTCATTTACCTTTAAATAGCGGTACAGCTCGCCATATTGTGACCGGACCTAGACTGGCATACTGTCCAAACCCCATCTCCATATATACAAGTGGTATGCCACAAAATGTCAGCATTACCAAGTAAGGAATGAAAAATGCACCTGAAAAATGGAATACAACATTATACACTCTTATCCATCAAACATTTTTGTTTTAGCTTTAATATATTTTGGAGAAGTAAAAAAAATCATTTAATAAAAATGTCACACTAGTGAAAGAACTATGCAATGTGACATCATTTAAGTCATACAGTACGTGTTTTTTGGGGTTGGGTTTTTTGTCGCAACTGCATACAGTACAGATTTTATGTTGAAATTCCAGCTTTACTAGTGAAGGAAGACCTCTTGTGCTTCTTCGTGTATAATTGCAGGCATGAACACATATCTAAGTAAAACCACTGACATTCAATAAGCTAGCTGGATAGTGTCCTCAATTAAAATAATCAAAAGTCCCTGTCAAGATTCAAATCACTGTGAGGGGCAATTGGTTTGAAGTCAATGACTTTAACTACTCAGCTACAGACGCCCAAAATAATATTACACTTTATGACAAACATCATAAACATGTAGAATAAAATGACAATCCTTCAGAATTTTTTTTCTTTTATTGTCAGCAATAAATAATTAAAATAAGAATATTCCTACCTCCACCATTTCTGTACACAAGGTACGGAAACCTCCAAATATTTCCAAGACCGACAACATATCCCAGACAAGATAAAATAAATTCCAGTTTTCCACGCCAATTTCCCCTTTCTTCATTTTCTGGTCCACTTTCGATACTGTCCGTACTTGTCACAGTTATCAAGTCTGATAAATATCCTCCTGTCATCTCTGAACCAGTCTCGTGTGGCACCTGTAAAATTGGAAAAAAACAAGTAGACCAGTCTTAAGCTTCTGCATCCAATTGGCTGATTAAGATTTAAAAAATTGAAATTGACCAATAGTTGAGCTGCAATCACAGACTGGTATAAATGTTTTGGAATTTTAAATTTAATTAATTTTTTCAGCAGACTTTAGCAGTTGCTGAATATAAATCTGCATTTTCTATTTAATTCAAAAATCTAATCTGTATTTTCTATCAAATTTTCAATGAAGTCAAATAATAATTAGTGAATTTTAACGATAGTTTGCAAAATATTTTTTTCTACTGTCTTTAAAGGTAAATTTAATACAATTAATTTTCTAAAAGCAATTATTTATAGATTTCTTTTATCTTATTACTTTAATCCTTTGATGCATAAAATCGATTTTCTGAAGTGATTTGATTATTAATTTAAAGTCACAAACATATATATTCAACCATCATTATCTAGCATTTAACCTGCACACCTTTAAAATCCAGCTTAATCTGTCATATATATACGCTCAAATGATGATCATTCAGTATAAAACAGTCACCCTTAATTAAACGTCAATTGAACTATCAATTTTAAATAGGTTAGTTTTTAAAACAATAGAATAAATAAGTCAAACTGTACAGTACAATGTATCAGAAATGGTTTAATTTTACAAATCATACAGCAAGAAGCTTAATTTACCAAGTCAGGCGTATCAATAGATTTTTTTCTCCCCAACTAGGATAATGTTCGGAACGTTACGTCTGAACATACCGGTATCTTTAACCCTGCTCAAATTTATTTTTCAAAGAGATTTATCGAACTTCAGAATTTGAGACTGTACGTGTATATGGATATTATAAATTATTCATATATATCAAAAAATATCAAACAAGCAGATAACTGTATACAGTATAGTCAGTGCAGAATGCATGTAGGTGCTGCGACCAGACTTGCACTTCTGGCATGTGTCTGAAAGTCACTAGTAGTCCAAAGGTTTATAAGATAATTCCATTGCATACACAATTATCAAACAAGAGCTGTCTAAGGAGGAACTTCAAACAATAGCTGTCTAAGGAGGAACTTGCTCCACTTTTTTTCTCAGGGCTGAATCGTTAACTGCAAATTTTTTAAATAATGAGAATTCATCACCTTCATGCAATAACGGGTTAACACATTATATTATTTAATAGGAGTTAGGCCATTACTGCTCTAAGGTGATGAGATGTTTGTTTTTGACCCAAAGATTGGCATAGTAGACAGGCCTCATCAAGATGCATCCACATATTAAGTTTCAGAGTCATAATTGTAGTAACAACTATTGACCATATATAAATATTTAACAAAGGTTACAGTGACCTTGACTTTTGACCCCAATGAGTATAATTTGTTAATACAATCACCAGTGACCTTGACCCTATTGACCTAGAAATTGGTATGAATTTAAGCAGACATCATCAAAAGACATCCAGAAATAAAGTTTTAAATGTAACAGATTTGTCGGTATTAAAGTTAACAAGAGCCATGTCAACATGGCCATCCCCCGCCGAATGTGTTTGCTCATTGGAAGAATGTATATGTAGTAGAGCGGAATAATTCCATTTTAAGAGGTCTTTTGGTAATGAAAACTGATGGCTATAGTGATTACAGATTTGAAACCAATATGTGAATACTGATGGCTGAAAATAACAAAGGGCAATTACTGAAAAATAATGCAGGGTAGGTTATCATTCTTGTGTGCTGCATCCCTCCTCAGTAAAATCTATCCACCTATGAAGTTTCAAGTTGATACCTCAAATACTTTTTGAGAAAAAAATTGAATTGAAAAATTAAGTATGAAAAAGAACAAAGGGCAATAACTCAAAAATTATGAAAGGTAGAGTTATCATTCTTGTGCACTGCACACCTCCTGAGTGAGATCTATGCACCTATGAAGTTTCATGTTAATATCTCATAGGCTTTTGGAGTTATGCTCTGGACAAAAATCAATTTTGAAAAATAACAAAGGGCAATAACTCAAAAATAATGCAGGGTAGAGTTATCATTCTTAAGCACTGCACTTCTCCTCAATGAGATCCATCCACCTTTGAAGTTTCAAGTTGATACCTCAAATACTTTTTGAGATATGCTCTGGACAAAATAGCATGAAAAAAAACAAAGGGCAATTTAAAAATTGTATAGGGAAGAGTTATCATTCTTGCGCACAACATTCCTCCTCAATAAGATCTATCCACCTATGACATTTCATGTTGATATCTCAAACACTTTTTGAGTTACGCTCCACTCAGGTGAAAAATTAGGTATGAAAAATAACAAAGGGCAATAACTCAAAAATTATGAAAGGTAGAGTTATCATTCTTGTGCACTGCACACCTCCTGAGTGAGATCTATGCACCTATGAAGTTTCATGTTAATATCTCATAGGCTTTTGGAGTTATGCTCTGGACAAAAATCAATTTTGAAAAATAACAAAGGGCAATAACTCAAAAATCATGCAAGATAGAGTTATCATTCTTGTGCACTGCACTCCTCCTCAATGAGGTCTATCCACCTATGAAGTTTCAAGTTGATACCTCAAATACTTTTAGAGATATGCTCCGGACAAAAATGTCGGACGGAAGGACGGACGGATGGATGGACAGAAGGTCGGACGGACGGAGACTATTTCTATATCCTCCGCCGAAAATTTTCGGCGGGGGATAATAACCAGAAAAGAAAGCTGAATGGAAAAGGCTATAAACCCCTGCCATTGTCAACAAGTGGGTCACAACATAACAATATCACAGCTTTCTCTTGAAGCGCATTATTTCACGTTTTATGCACAGGTTAAAACGGAATAATTTGTCAGATATGACATCAATGAACAGTATTAAACCAAATGATGTCAGGAAAATTCAAATTCTACATTTAATGTAGTTCAATATATTTTTATCTATTCTCTTTTTTATTAGCATGTTAGAATGGAAACAGATATTTATTTTTCTTGCATGATAGTATAATAATGCATGGTTTATCTTTCAAATGCTTTGCAATTAATCACTCAAGCCGTGGATAATCCACCTACGTGATTATATTCCTATGCATTTGGACTCGAACCCTGCATTATTCAACAACAATGCATTCAAAATTGATATTCTATTTCCTAAATAAAATTAACAGTGTAGTATTGTAACAAATCAAACTATTAATTTCTAAGTTCTCATTGTTACCCATGGTGTAGATGTACAAGAGTAACTTTTCAAGAACTAAATTATTTATAACATTTAGACAATTTGATCCTATTTATACATCAACGAATTATAAAAACAAACTCATAAATTTAAAATTTTGCACATTATAATATAAAATAATATAAAAACAAACTCATAAATTCAAAATCTTACACATAGATAAAATGATATAAAGATCTTATTAAATCACATTCATCATTATGCTATACAAAAGGTGGGCGCAACACTTTATCCAAATAGGATCATCTTTATTGATAAGTAGTTATAGAGATTTGAAAACTCTATTTACTTCATTATAATAAGAATGAATACATTAATTAAAATGTTTAAACTAAAATACATCAACAAGTTTTCAATTGAAGATGATTTTAATCTATTGCATATAATAATCTGTACACTTTAGAAATACCAAGTTGAACTTGTTTGAAATTCAGTTTTGAGGTTTTGTTAATTAATACATTCAGGCCTGGAATTTTTCCCTCAGCCTTTTTTTGCAGCTACACATTTTACCCAAGACCAAACTCAGCCAGCACATTGATGCATGCAGTCTAATAATGGTCTGCACTGTAAAACTTTCAGGCCTAACATTTAACTCTTAGGATGCCGCAGACAACATAATTTACCCATCGGACCAGCGCAACTAGACCATGATCTGAGCCAGCACAGTGGTTCAGTCACATTTTCTTTACATACCGGTATATGAAAGGTTCTAAGTATCCCAACATGAAAACAAACTTGTATGATAATAATGAACTTATATGCATATTACCTCATAAAACTTTTTTATTAATATTATATAGTATGAAATGTAGAAAATCATTTTGCGTCTTGCTTTTTAAATTGCCCTGTATTAATTTATGGTCCATAGATATTAACATTTTTCAGTTTTAACATATAATTAACAAATAAACTGTTTTAAGACAACACATTTTTGGCAGTAGTTGACATCTTTATTATTAGCACTTACTAATATTAAGTATTGAGAAATGGATCATAAATTTATTCTTTTTTTTTTTTGTTGAGGTCCAAAAAAAGTAAAAACATAAAACATAAAAATTGAATTTCTTAAATACACCAGCTTGGGCACTTCAAAAAAAGATATGCAAAAGATCATTATGAAATATACTTGAAAATTGTATTTTTGTGCTATTCTTTGATTTGAGTGAAAAACGTTGACTTGCTTTTCAATTTTGGGCCATAGTTCACAATTAGAATAATCATTCTGGAAAAAACAAAGTGAGCAAAGATCTGAAGTTTTGCACACATTCTATTGGTCTAGATCTACATCAAATCAAAGTTAACATTAATCTCGAATTTCAGGATTTCAGTCCTGTCACGTAAAAAAAACCTCAGTGCAGTCCCTTTAAATAGGCAAATTAAGATACCAAATTTGATTACTTACATAAAACACTGTCAGTGAATTCTTTTTAGTTTTTAACATTCATTTAGTACTGATCAAAATTCACTGTCTTTCAGTATTTAACATGCAAATATACTGAATAAATTATTTGTCACATTCATAATTCAAGATACACATCATAATGAATTCATTGTTTGTTTGGTTCTTTTTCATTATTTAACATGCAAATATATTGTTTTTCAGTTTCTAACAATATTAGTATTATAGAATGGCTATATACATGTATTTTATATTATATTGTATATAAATGAGACTGGAATAAATAAATAAATAGTATATTGCATAAACAGTAATAAATTTATCATTTGTAAGCAATTAACAAATTGCATATTTTATTGCACTCCCACGTACACCTGAATGAATATAT